AAACATTTGGAATTCTATACCAAAAGAAATTAGGGAAAGCAAGTCACTTTCTTCCTTTCGAAATAAAATCGCTGCTCACATTAGTGCTTGGTAACCTTTGTAAATAAAACTTACCTGTAAATAGCTCAAAACATTTGTTATATCTTTCAAATTTATATATTACTGTAATAGCTTAGCTTATCCTTATCGTATTCTGCATGTAAAATAATTTTCTGGCACACGCCCCCCGTGGAAATCAGCTACGGTTGACGGGGTCAGCGTGGATAAATAAAGTTCTACTACTACTGCTACTGCTACTGCTACTGCTACTGCTACTGCTACTGCTACTGCTGCTACTACTACTACTACTACTACTACTACTACTATCTCTCTCAAAGCGTTCTTGAGTCTTTTGTCTGATTGTCTATAAGAAGTTTCTTTATTGCAGTTTATAAATTCCCTATTTTTACAGGAAGAAGATGATGAAGAAACGAAAGAAATAAAGAAACAGGCAGCCGAGTACGTTTTATGAATAATTCTAACCATAAAATTGACGTTTTCATATACATGGTCATGAGTAAATTCGTGTTAAACACATTTTCTTTAAGTTTGATGACTTTGAAAGATATTCGACTTGCCCTTTGTTAAGGCCGTGTTACACGGTGCAATTTTTCTTGCAACCTGCAATGGCTTACGTTGCAAGTTACAAAACAGATTGCCCTAGTTTGCAACTGCTAACACTCCTAGTTTGCAACTTGTAATGCAATAAAAAATTGCATTGCAAGTTGCATGGAAAGTTGGACCGGCTTCTACTTTTTGCAATGCTGTGAGACAAGTTGCAGTGTCTGACACCCCCATCTGCAACTTGTCTCGCAATACTTAGGAAATTAGCCAATCAGAATGCTGCATAGCCTGCGATCAGGATGAATTTTTGGCAATTCAAAATGGTGGACTTATTGTTGAGCTTCGATCAAACCATGAATGAAGAAGAAGAAAAACATGAAAATGAACCAGAAAATGACCAGGCAAAGGCGACAAAATTAACAGGTTTTGACAAAATTGTCATTTTGGAGGCAGTGAAAAATTGTCCTTGCCTATGGAAGAGCGGTGAGAGTTGGGCAAAGAAAGACAAACAAGAATTCATGCTGCACGCGAGATTGCAGGTCGCAAAACAAGTTGCACTCTCGTCTGACATGTCACTGCAACTTGCAATATTTATTTTTTAAAATATTGCATTGCAGGTTGCAAGAAAAATTGCACCGTGTAACATGGCCTTTCGAAGTCAAAGCGATGTGTGGAACGATTTCGTTGTCATTCGACGGGACAATGCACTGTCAGCACAACAACTTAAAAAATATCAAATGTTTAATACAAAAATTTGTGGACATTGCCCAAGGACAAATTGATTAAATTGTGGTAGCAATTTGTCTTGCTTTGCCAGGCAGAGCAAACCGAATGCGTAATTAGTCCAATGCGTAGTTTATGCATCATACATAACTTAATTCTCTGGCAGAGATATGCAATTTCAGAGTGCCCTCTATAGTTATTCTATTATTCTATGCGATTATTTTGTTGTCAATCGATTGGTGAAAGTAGAAAACGATGAAAGTCTGAACTGGATGCTTAATTGCCGTCATGCAGGCTGCCTTTAAACCAGCATCCCTGTTAAAAGATAATTAAATTAACTTTAATACATGTGTGTATTTATTTATATACTGTACTTACTGCTTTCTCCCATTTTATTGGTTTACAGAATTCGGACAAAAAAGAAGTTGATAGTTCAACAGCATCGTCTGAAGAAGACAACGAACCATGCGAAAGTTCCACATAACTTACGGGCTAAGGTTTGACTAAAATTTGCTTCAAGTTCAGTTCTTTCTCCCTGACTAAAGTTGTTTCTTCTGTCGATTACTAATAAAACTAAGCCGATTCAAAGAGTGCAGCATGTATACTACCTCCTAAATCCCTCATGGGAAATGACTCGCAAAAGAGCTTTGATTCTAAAACTCTAATAACTTCATATATTTGTCTTTACATACTAAGACGGCGGAGAATTGGTTGATTGTAGAATGGACAAGACTTGGGGGGTCTCCGTAGGCATGCTCCCCCGGGAAAACTTTGAAATCTAGAGTTTTGAAATGGCATTTCCCACGTTCTTAGGAAAACTTGGCATGGTGAAACTTGATCATTTTGGTAATTTTGCATTTTAACCAACAGAGAAACTAATACGTTCGTTTCATATGTAGTCTTTATCCCGACAAGCAAGGAGGCAGAGTTTGGCGTCTGATGGAATGGAATGGGAAAATGAGGATGACTCGATGGTAAGTTGACCTGGACTAAAAATATTTAACTGCTGCTAATGCTGATAGGGTCGTGAATCTACTTCTATGAGTATACTTATTCTTTTCCATGACCTGCCAACATTTCCACAGTACCCGCGTACGTATCAAGTATACATGCTTTAGAGTCAGAAGTGAGAATCGAACCCACCAACTCAGAGGCGTTGCTCTGACGACTCTCCCACCGAAGCAAAGAGTGTAATAATTGAATTATCCAAAGGCATTCATCTATGTGTCGTTCCTGCACACTACTCTATACTGAAAATGTCAAATTTCAAAAAAATAATAAATGATGAAAAATAAATAATCATTTTAGGACACGTTGGAAGGAAGACGAACAAGATCACGTACACCTGCCAGTCGCAAGAGGAAAAGAGAGGACACTGGTAGTGAAGTGCGCAGTCATTCAAAGCCACCAAGAGATCAATCTGGTATTTCAAATAATCCAGAGGTACGGGATTGTAAAAATTTTAAAAGAGTTCTTTCCCTACACAATAGTGAAATTTTCATTGCAATCAGGAGATAAAGAGTACAATTAGTGTTTTACAGTAGCAAAGTACGACTTTGAAATTCTTTCTGAAAGAAGAATGTGACTAAATATTAAAATGACGTAAATTATCTAATAAACGCTAACTCTCTAATAAACGTTCCGGTCAAGCTAAAATTTTCTAACAGACGTCCTCACTATTAAACGCCCCTTATCTTATTAGCGCCTTCCCTACTGTGGTGTTTATTGGATTTAATTAAACTGTGGGAATTGTTGGAAATGTTGTTAAGTCGCTTCAAACTACCGTATGAATATACGGCCCAGGGCCGTAACGGCCCTCTTTATTAGACGCCCCTTATCTAGTAGATGCCTCCTATTAAGTACAGCGATATAGCAAGAACTGTAAAGTCTTATTTGCACACGAATTATCGGATGATTTTATTCTTAATTATTTCTTTCATAATATCACGCTTTCTATTCTCTTTGGCTCGATAAACGTCTTTTGTCGATAACAAACAAACGAAGTGATTCACAATCATATTTGACTTTTACTCGTCTCAACAAATCACAATTAATCTTAGTCGCAATATCTTTTACTTTATCTATAGAAAAAGAAGAAGGCGAAAAAGATGATGAAAACATCGCAAAGAAATATGAACAGAATGGGGAAAGCAGGTCAGTACAAAGTCATTAATTTTATTTGCTGGATGTATTGTTTTGTCCATTACGACGAGCCTGGCCATTGCGTCAATGTGATGGCTTTGCATCAGTTGTCAGAAACGACAATGAGATAATCACGTGTTGGGCCTCGTCATTATCTCTAGGGTCTCTTATATTATTTACTGCAGACGTTATATGAGTAAAAATATTATAGATTAAATAACGTTGGGCTTTTTCCCTTATTACCCACATGTTAGTGATGTTACCGACTTACCACTACATTGTATAATAATCTGGGTATCGGTGGATATATAAGATACCCCAAGTATGTAATTGGAACTGGCGTACAGTAATGCGTTAACGATTGATTGTAAGTTGCATGTAACGATGTTTAATGTTTTCTTTGTGTCTAGGGGAATCTGATCGTCATATTGGCAGCAAAATGCCCAAACATCTGTTTGCTGGAAAACGAAAGGGAGGGAAAACACAAAGAAGATAAGTCAGTTGTGTGATGTTGTTTTGAACTTGACACAGCAAATTACGAACTGTTAATTCACCATGCGAATTCACCATGCGAATTTTATCGAGAATTAATATACGAATTAATATACGTTGCATTTCGCTATATCAGAATTTATTTGACTTGGAGGTATTAAAAAGCAATGCATTAATTAACTTCAGGTAGGCATTGGTGGCTTTCACTTCAAATTCAGAAATCGCGAAAACGTAATTGCTTGTTAGTATGCCAAATGTGCCATGGTGTGTCAAAATAATATACAAGCTTGGGTTTGTTACAACGGAATTTTGTCATTGGTCTTCTGAATTAGATATATAGCGTCTGGGTTTAATATAAAACAAACCGCATGCAACTTTAATATATAAACAAATGACTGTATATCTATACTATAGGACAGTTGTACACCTTTGTCAAGAAAATCTACTCTGCAAACTACCTGTGAACATCAATAGATCACTGATTGAACCACTATATTACATGTAGTCTATATATGAAAATGAGTTTTTTAATAGCTCTAGTACCAGGTTTTCCACTATATACTATTGTTTTTCAAACTAGGAAGCAGTCTTGTTCTTGCCATTTTATAATTTTTCATCTATATAAATTCTGTCAAAATTGTTCCCATACCCTACTTCCAATATTACATAAGAATACGAAGAAACATTGTTTGTGTATATAACTACACCCATAAACATTTATTTCGACATTAACAACTGATTGTCAACATTTATTTTAACATTACATTAACATTTATTGTTATGTACAGTATATATACATAAAACTATATTATTATAGGGATATGTCGGATCTGTATACTATAGTATCCAATATCCGGTAAAATATAGACATCCGGCAGTATCCGACAAAATTTTGCAAGATATTTACCGGATAGCATTAGAACCATGCATGTAATCGGAAATAGCATTAGAACCATGCAATCTTTTCTTGTGCGTTGAAGAATTATGGAACAGGGACACTAGCTGGGCATGCTGAAAATGTTTTCGTGATGTAAACTGCTCTGCTGTAAATTGCTGCTAACGCCAGCGCCACAGATATTTATGCTTATTGTATAGAGAGAAAAGCACGTACTAAAACAATGGACTACATTATGGCAAAAATTGGTGAAGTATTGTCCAAGAACCACCATTAGTATCCAGTTTTACCTAACCAGTATCGCGCGGTAGACTAAACTAATCGGGTATCATCTGGTATGCAGCAAAACAGTTTACGGCACATCCCTATATATTATGAATTATGAATACATATTTTACGATACAAGGTTTATATATGTATGGTAAATTTACTAAATTGTTATCACCAAATTTCTATATTAACGTTCCACAATTTAAGGGCAGCTCTAGCTCCGCGCTGCATTTTCATCGAATGTTATAGTGAGTACATGGAACATATCCCAAAGTTGTCAAATTCGCGATTCAAAAATTTTTCAAGGTACCTCAATTCACCCTGACCCCTATATCGTTCTGAAATTGTCATGTTTATTCAATAGTAGTTCTGATTTGATTTATGAAGAACAACTATTGATTTATAAAGAAATCTACCCAGCCATTGCTCTTAACCAATGAGATCACAGAAAGGTGGCTCGTTTTAATAGGTGACCAAAAACATTTACTGGAAGTTTTTACCAGTTCAAAGGTATATTCTGAGAGATTCTGCAACCTTAAATACGGTAAAATCTTAAGGTACTTACTTTATATATAACGGCATGACTTAACAATTAATTCTATATACATCGCGAGACCATGGCGAATTCAGAGCGAGATCATTTACATAACTGCATGCCGAGTACAGATGAACAGCATTATATGTGTTCTGCATTCTCGACATTACGCAAAATTTGGTCGGTTCTCCAGTTCTTACTCACGGCTCGCCTAGGATTCGTGTAAACGTTACTCTTTATAATATATATTTTGATGATATATTTTTAAGTCATCCGTTATTTATAATTATTATTATGCGTATATGTGATTCACACTGAAGACGTAAAAATTCAAAAATTTATGCAATTCTGCTTATTAATGAAAGTAACTTTCGTCTCCAAAAATCTAAAGCTCTTGCCACTATAATGTATATACTATACTTATATATAAACATTTGATATCCGAGGGGGAAAGAAACAATCACTTTGCTTTGCCTATAGTTTACAATTACGTTTTTCTTTCATTTTGCGAAGACAATCTATACTATATTATAGGCAATAATGATTTATTTCATTGCCTCCTAATATTGCTGGATACTGTTTGATAAAGGCTTTACATTTTCCCTTAGTATATATGATGTAATGGTAATTTAATTTAATTTATCGCCAGTACTTTGCTTACGTTGTGTGGTTTTGATTTCATGCTGCTTATGCAATTATCAACGTTTGACTTTGTACTTATATGTTGTTCAAATTTACCAATTATTTTGGCGATATAGCTCTTTTAGCCGAGAAAAATCAGGACGAAATCTCTAACCCATTTTACAAATATTGACTAAACATTCGTTTCTTTTGAATTTTCTTCACGGCACGTTGACTTGAATTTCCTTCATTTCAATTTTTATTATTTATTGAGCTGTGCATGCGAGCCTCGATGTCAGTCATGTACTG